AATGAAGAGCTTGTGAGCTAGGAGCATCTACATCTAAAATTTGTCTATCTCTTATAGGTTCTGACATCCTTGCGTTCATACATACGGACGGACGGACGGACGGACGGACGGACGGGCAGACAGACGGACATGGCTAGATCGACTCAGCAATTTATGCTGATCAAGAATATATATACTTTATGCGGTCGGAGTTGCTTCCTTCTGCCTGTTACATATATTTGGCTTTCGCACAAATACAATATACCCTTATACCCATTTTTAATGGGTTCAGGGTATAAAAAAAAAAAAATGTGAAGGACAACAGATTTGATAGTTCCATCAATAATTGGGAATAGCATGAGTTGAATTGCTTTCGTAATAAAACAACTAAAAGTACAGGTCTTTTAGTTAAGGATTATGGATTAAATATCCTTGCTGACATATATTTAAATATTTGCGATTTATTGTTTCTATAGAAATGTGCTATATTTCAATTTGAAGAAAATATGATTTATTTCCAAGCGCTGATAAACTTCTTCATTGCTGAGCTTAAAATATAAAACCAACTTTTCTTATTGGAATTTAGTTTCTGTTATACAAACCTTTAATACCCTATTGCAAGTGTATAAAAGCCATATTTCAGCACACGTCCAACTTATTCCAAAAGACTTTGGTATATATGCCTAAGCTGGTTAAAAAAGCTTGCGCCAACAAAAATATAGATACGAATATATACTGAATGCAAGTGTCAACTCGGGAAATCTGCTCCATCGACTGCCAAATGCGTTGAGCACCTGAGTTAATTCCACTTTGATCTCACGGACTTAATGAAAAAGCGTCATTTAATATGCTTTGGGCGATTTTCTCTCTCGCTTTGGCAGCGCGCAAATGGTGTCTATTTTTAATGCGCTTAACTATATGCAGTGTAAATTTTTTCGCTCACAGCTTAATAACTCTGGCAACTTATGCAAATAACTGGCGGCACTCTGGCAACTTTGAACTTTTTACACTCTGGCAATGGCAAACGGAGCAGCAACAACAACAAATCGCAAAAGTTGGCAACGCGCTCAGCTTAACCGCAAAAGCAGCTAATGCGCTTAGACTTGGCAACTGGGAGGAGCTGTAATGCGACTAGTTGCTGGTTGCTACGAGCACTCTTTGCTATATCTGTTACTGCCCCTTGGCCAGACTACATTACGGGCATTATATATATATACGCTTTTAGTCTAGTTTTTCTGTTGAAGTACGGGCGAATCGTAGCTTATTTGAACTTTAAGCTGAACTTCATTTAACTGCAGCTTTGTTTGCCGTTCAGGTAACAAGGAATTTAATCAACATAAACAAAATGTACGCTTGGCTTAGTTTTCTTCACAAGTTCAAATGAACATGAAGTAATAATATTTTCGAATTCGTTTTGGCTCTCAGGCACAATCAAAAAAGTGCAATTCTCATGCTGCACATTATTTTCAAGTCAACCCTTCCAAGAAACTTCTACAGCGTTTTTCTTTATGCTAGCTATTGTTATCCGGCTATGCACAGCCACGTGTTTCTCTTCAAATTCCAGAAAAAACATTGTAGTTGAACTATCATTTTCACCGAAATGGGTGGATTTTAAGCAGTGATATTTTCACGGATTTACGTAACTTGTGTAAAACATTCAAATTTCTATCTCTAATAGTTTGAGCTATAATGATCATTCAATCAATCAATCGATCGAGCAATCAATCAATCAATCTAACTTATAGTTGCATAAATGAAGACCTATTTGCGTTCTGTCTTCAAACTGAAATCAAGTATTCGTATAGTTTATATGAATTCGGCTGTTCTTTGCATGAAATCCTATTGTTAAATTGATGTCACAGTTGAGTTCACTTTGCGAAATTCATTTAATAGCTTTAATATTGACTTAGTTTGTATTTTTTGACAGCAGCTTGGCGAGCAGGCTGCTGCCAAGGAGGACCTTTAGCTATGTTTAATTGCTTATCATTAAAAATTCACTGAAACAAATAGCACGCATACGCCCCGAGGGCCGCCGCACATTTCAAGTGCATAAGTAGCAGTTGGGGCTGTTTGAGCTGTGGGCAAAATTGATGATGGAAATTACTTTTAATTCTTTTTAGCGTTAACGGCAACTCATCAAGTTGAGTGCTTAAATTTAATTTATGCTCGCAATATTTACATATTTACTCGCGGAGTTTGACTGCAATCAAGTTGAGAGGTTTCTTCTGCATTCGCGGAATTCCTTAAGGTCGCGATTGGCCAAAACGCCAAGCATCATAAATTCAATTCAATTAAGCAAAGTATCCACGCCCTCGGTTATTATTGGGTAAAAACAGAAAAACAAAACACAAAACGTCTGCCAAGCCACAATTGTTATTTGATACGCGTTTAGTTTAGTTTATGTTTTGCTCTCGGTATTTTTTTCAGCATTCGGTTGAATTTTCTGCGCTTCAGGCAGCCATAAATTGTAGCCAGCTCGAGAGTGTGTGGTCTTGTGTGTGTGTGTGTGTGTGTGTGTGTGTGTGTGTGTGTGTGTGTGTGTGTGTGTGTGTGTGTGTGAATGCTCATAAATATACATGAGCATATCTGTGCATACCTGAGCCCGCTGTCCGTGCCATGCAACTGCTCTAATTGCTATGGTTGCAAACATTTATGATTTCTTAATTGCGTATCGGATAGCATTTGAAAACTGTCCGATTGATCAACTATCGTTTCGTGTCGAGAATTCAGATGAATATATTAAATAAAAACACATCTTGTTAAGTCTAAAGTTCCTGTTTTTTATATTTTTCCCATAAAGTTGTACGTTAAAAATTCGTGCACACTGAATTCACTCCCAAGGTCGGAAAATAGATGGAAGTTTGTATACGAAATTCCCTTCCAAGGTCGGAAAATAGGCGGAACTTTGTTGTATGGCACTTGAGTTCAACTACATATTTGTAAACATTAATGTAAACTCTTAAAAGTCAACAGCCACTACATCTAGTGTTGTAAAGTATAAGTATAATAATATAAGACTTATATATGTATTTTTGAAAATAGAATTTGGGCACACTAGAGCTTCTATAATCTTGCATATTCCCTTCTATCAGCTCAGTTCGTTGTTGATCGAGGCGAAGCGAAGAACTATTCTGAGCTGCATCATAACCTGTTGTTGTGAAAGCCAATAAAGCCAATAATTTACTTATTTCTTGGCTTAGGTTCCAAACACTATGCTATACTTGTTGTGTTATTTGAGATATCGTACGCTCAATAAAAACATTTCCGTGCTTGAGGTACTTATTTATATTTCCTAAATAGCCTGTCTTAGTTAATAAGGTGCAAATAGTTTTCTAATGCATGCCTGTTTCATATTAACAAGAACTTTTGCCCCAATTACACATATGATTTGGAAGAAGCTGACAATTAATAGACGATTATATTTTTATGCATTATCAGTTAGGCAAAAGCTCAGGCTCCGCTTAATTAATTAATTATACAGAAATGCCAATGCAGTGTATGTATTTAGGCTTGTATGTGTTTATGGCTGACATGATTGACTAACCAACTGACTTAATGACTAACTGACTCAGTGATTATGCTAACCAATAAAGAGGCTGGAATGGGGAAAAGTCAGTGTCAGCGCGTACGAGCTGCGTGTCAGAGTTGCCACAGTTTGTGAAGCAGTTCAAGTTGTTGCCTCATTTGTTGTTCAGCAAAAAAAAAAAAGGAATAAATAAAAGGTTGTTGAAATTTGTTTTAGTTGTTGTCGACTACATTAAATATGCATTAGGTATTGTACAGAATTGGCTGCCTCTTAATTTGTATGTATACAAGCATAATAGCTGAGGTCTATATAAACAATGCTACACTTCGAGAAAAAAGGACGTTCTAAGTTTCAGCAGAAATGCTTTTTGGCTGTCTTAATATGCAATTTTGATCTTGAATAAATAATAATGGCTTAAATAAAATTCACTTAATTATCAATTTTTTATACGTACAAATTTCTCAGCTATTTCTCTCAGTGTATATGCATGCAAGTGTGTGTGCGTATGCGATGCCTAGTTAGTTTTGCGGCCATATAAATTAGTCAGGCAGTTATTTTGCGAACAGGTTCAACAGCCTTGCCTAGGCCTCATGTTGAATATCCTGCAGAATGCTTAAGGCTCACTGAATCAAAAGTTGATGATTGCTTCGACTAGTAGTTGACTTAAGTTGCATCCCTTTTTGACGGCAGCGTCGTTTAGTCAATTATTGCGGTCTGCTTATTATTAATGGCCGCAAATATTTTGTGGCTCTAATGTGCCGCACGTGGCCGTTAAAGACCAGCTTTTTAGAGCCCTGCAAAGGATATTATAATTATGTCGGGAAATGTGTAACGCATTACAGCAGCTATTTGCGAGTCTATAAGGTATATTTATTCTTGACAGCCAAGTCGATTTCGCCTTGTTTCTCTCTCTATTCCTCTGGACCTATACAAACTGGACTCTCAGTTTAAAGAAATACATTAAAGCGTGCAGGAATCTGACTTCTCGCTGCACATACATGCATATGTATCTCAAATTTGGAGCAAACCTCGTCAGTTTATCATTTAGCTGCCCTATGAATCAAGAGACTTTGTATATGCTCTTTTTGATTCATAGGGCAGCTAAATGATAAAAGAAATTGTTTCGTTTTTTACGATATTTTAATTATAACGAGCTTGACTTCACTCCTAACTCCTAAAATGATATCCAAATGGGAGTACTATATCATTTAATTTCCAGAAACCTTTTTTCTCAGTTACCAAGATATGTTAGCCAAAATTAGAAATTACGAGTTTGGTAAAGCTTCTAGCATACAAGAAAACTCTCACTATCATTAGAATACTAAATTATAAAGTTTCTGAGCTAAGTATAATTAATATGTTGCAAAATCGTTTACACGTTTTACAAGGATAATTAACCTTCGGATATTTAAATCTTGCTTCTTATTTTAAACTAATTTAGCTAATGTTTTCCATTTTTTCCACATTTTCCCATCTACTTTTTTCCTACTCGCAGTTGGTTTCCAGCAACCCAAATCAACGCAACTGGCGCGGCATTCTCATCGCTCTGCTGGTGATCATCATTGTGCTGGCCCTGATTGTAACTTCGGTGGTAAGTCTAAGCCGCATGGTAAATGTTTGTTCGTGTTTATTTTTTGGTAAATGGTAAAATCCTTGATTGAAAACCGATTATATTGCAATCCAATGTGAATAAGTTAATTAAAATCCAGCTCAAGTAATTTATCTTCATGTGGCTCTTGTGTAAATGAACCATTTCTCAAATTAAATCAATACGAATGCAATTTCCCCTAATACACCACACACGCACACACACACACACATACACACACAGCTGTGCAAACACTATAGCTGTGCTCACATTCAAAGTACCGTTACTGTGCAATATTCACAATAATCCATTGCAACTGTATTTTTATTTGTGGTCACAATCTGCAAATGAAAAACAGGATAAAACGTTGTGGTCGGCTCTAACCGACTTGACAATACTCTGTTCACAATAATTACAGCAAAACCAACCATTAAAATTAATAATTATTAGATAGTTGACTCTAAAACTGTAACAAGTGGGTGATTTTCAAACTGTGACTTAGTGCAAACGGCCCCATCAATTTATGGGGCAAGTTTGTTGGTTAAATCTTGGCGCAAGTAAATTATACGCAAATTATACTCTAGTTATTTTCGTAACAAACATTATTCCTAAATGCATTTAAATATCTCTAATATACTCTATTGCACTTTGTGAACAGGGTAGAACAAACGACAAACACAAATGTTATGCGTGTAAATACGTTGCGCTCATTTTTGTCTTCTTCTTTGTTTATTTATTTTTTCCTTTTGTGCCTTGCTGCGTGATATTTGTGCCACCCCCCTGCGCCCCTTTTGAAATCTCTCCATTTTTTTTCTCCATTTTCTCCATTTATGTGTTGATGTTGATGTTGTTGTCGTTCTTGTTGTGGTGCTTTTGGTACAATTTGTACTGTGTGTGTATATATATATAGAAAACAACATATAAAATTTCTGCATTTATCAAAAAAGGTGCTGCTCACGCCACCCGATGAGGGACCGCGCGTCAAGGGACAGCGCATCAAGCTGCAGGACATCGTCGACGGCCTCTACGTGCCGCAGCGTGCCAATGGCAGTTGGATCGACGGTGAGTTGACAGCTACCTGTAACGGTAACGCTAATGGTAACACACTTCTAACTAGCGTTTTCTCAAGCTCAGTTCAGTCCAGTTCAGTTTTTTTCTCAGTTTGTCTCAGCCTCTAGTCAGCGCTGAGCTGCAAGAATGTTCTTAACTGGTAGTTAAATCGATAGGAAAATTACGTCTATCTTATTTCTTTTGTGTGAAACTAGAAACCTCTAGTCAGCGCTGAGCTGCAGTTGACTGGTAGTTGAATCTTTATTTATTTTGAATCGATTTTAAATCGATTTACTTTAAATCGAACAAAAAACAATAATAATAATAATGGAGTTTTATATAATAATGCAGCCCTCCCACTTTATTGCTTAACTTACACTTAAGTGGCAAAGTTTTCCAAGATTTTCGTTGAGGTCCCCACAGGATTATGCTCCTCAAAAAGGTTTCTTATAGCAACTCTGGTTTTTAAGCGTTTTTTAAGAAACTCCTACACACACAAAAAGGTAAAATGAGACACCGATTTTTCCTACAGCCTTGCCCACCTATTTCAATGCACACACTCAGCCGCAGTGTTGTGGCACTGACATTGAGAAAACCCAACCAAAACTGGACATTGAGAAAATAAGCCATAATCTCTTTTAATTTCCGACTCTTATGTTTTCACATATCGCTGCAGCCGAGGAGTTTTTGTATCAGGACCATTTGGGCCGTATCTGCCTGCTGAATGCAGCCAATCGCACGGAACGCGTCCTCATGTCCAATGTGACATTTGTAAGTACATTTCCTCCTGCTACGCCTCTCCTACCGCCCCTTTTGCTGTATAGTCATGCAGTATATGCTTATTGCTTATCTCCGAGCTGAATAAATATTTGCAGCATGTTATTTACGATAGGATGCTGTGGGGCGTGGGTGTGGGCGTGGTTGCTATCTCAAGTGAACACACTTGACTTGGCAGCCAAACAGTTGGCAGGCACTGTTAACTGATACGCACACACACACACACACACACACACGGGCAAACAGAACACAGCAAAGTAGGCAAAAACAAATGGGCCAAGTTATCGCTACCCCATAACGATAAAAGCCAAACGATTCTTATGTCAATGCTTGGGTAAACATGAGGGGAATAGCGGCAGGGAATAGTCAAGGGGTGGAGGTAGTTGGATCCTTCCGGTTGAAATGTTTTCTAATGAATAATGCGCGCTCTGAAATTGAAAAACAAACAAATATATATGGATGCCTGCCAAGTGTATAGAGGGGCGGCGGGTTAGCTCAGTGCCAACAATTTTGACAGCTGCCAAGAGGCAAGCATTTCGAATGCCTTCAAGCCAAATGCAGCAACAAGTGCCACAAAAAAGCCATTCGGCAACTGCAACATGCAACAAGCCATCGCTTATGTCAACAGTTGCCACTTGACAAATAATTAATGTGCCCCACCAAATGAGCTGCTACTAGGATGACTCAGTCAAGAGTGTAGTTACCATATATACTATTTAAGGCAAAGCCTACACTCAGCAAAAACTCGGTTCTCAATTCTTGTCTGATCCGCTGAAAATAGTTTCCGTTTTATTCGAAATCTAAGAGCAAAATTAACATTGTCAAAGCAAGCAATAAATTTCATAGATTTATTACCTTCTGTGAGTTAAAAAATTTCTTAAGTATTTTATTCCCAGCCCAAGGATTTTAACAAAGTTTGAGCAAATAAATCTACATTCTTTCTCTAAGTGTAGTTCAACTTGGCTGCAGTTTAAGGAAACCTAATTAAGCATTTCCCAAGAAAGCTTTCATGCAAGCCATTCTCTGGATTTCTACGTAAATTCAACTCATATGCCAAAAAGCTTCATTAAAGGCAGTTATGCACTATCTAACGTACTTCTGCGAATAATTAACAAATGTAGGCAGTAAATCTAAATGGGAAATTTCACCATTTGTATCCATAGGCACAACACGCGCTGCGCAAACAATTAAAATTTTAATTAAAATTACGTATACGCAGCGTTTGCCATTCTGTATAAGCGCAATTGTTATGGCAGCTGCTTAACAGCTACCATAACACTGGAACGCATTTGAAATCGTCATTTACTACGTTTTCATGGCTAGCATTTCAATGAGCTGCCACCTAATTCAAATTATTTCATACGCAGAAAACTCTGGCGCCGTTCACATTTAGCATATCGGCGGATAAACGTTACCTGCTGCTGGCCCAAAACGTTGTCAAATTATTTCGACACTCGTATTTGGCGCAGTACACGTTATTTGACATACACACAAGGTAAGCGAACAACAGTTGACGAAGCGCCTCTCTTTGCGATTCTCACAAGTATGGTGTCTCTCATTCGCAGCGAGGCCATCAAGCTGCGCCACAATCCGCAACAGGACGAATGGCCCTATTTGCATTTTGCGCGCTTTACAAGCGCCGGAAATGCTTTAATCTGGGTGCACAACTATGATATTTACTATCGTCAGGAGGTGCGTGCCTCGCATGCTTATCGCATCACACACGATGCGGTGCCGGGCGTTGTCTATAACGGCATACCCGATTGGCTATACGAAGGTGAGTTTATCATGCATCATAATAAAAGTGCAATAAAAGGTGATTTAAATGTTTTAAAAATACATGAATGGCAGTTAATAAGGGTAGCCAGCAAAAAATTGAATTACTTTTACAACAAATAAGTATTTTTTATTTCTTATAATGATCTATTTGGTCTGGCTAAGGTCTAGTTGTCCGCTTGCTGGCAGACTTTAATCCTTAGATTTCAATTTTATGTTCATGATTTCTATGTTTTCTATGTGCCAGCCAAGTTATTTAAAAGATAGCTTAGGGTAATTAGCAATAAATTTAAAAAGCATTGAATCTTCGATAAGGCATGGAACACTTTGATGGTCATAATTGATATGGTGTCTCTCCTTTATAGAGGAAGTTCTGCATACTAATAATGCAATTTGGCTATCGGACGACGGGCAACTGCTGCTCTATGCCAGCTTCAACGATACACACGTCCAGGAGCAGCATTTTGCGTGGTATGGCACCACCTCAACTGGCGCCGCAGGCGGTGCTGCGACAAGCGGCACAACTCATGGCAATGGTGGTGTCGGTGGTGGCACTAGCTCTGGCGGTGGCTCAGCTGGTGGCAGTAATCCGCATGCCAACTTGTATCCGGAAATTAGATCCTTACGGTAAGTTGTGCCAGTCCCAGGCTATATTACTTTTCGATTAGGTGTTAATGATGTGCTCGTGACTGTACTTAGCCCTAAATAGTGCTCGGGTATAGAATGCTTAAAATTCATGAAGTTGTCGACGAGTGCACATGGCTTTTTGGGAATCCTTTTCACGATGGCCCAAATGTGCCCAGGTGTGCAGGAAAGTGTCAAGTCTCTGTCTGTGTGTGTTTGTGTGTGGGTGTAACGACATTCTTATACTCTGTTAGCAGAGTGCAAAAGAGTGTATTGGTTCAACCAAAGGTAAATTGCAGCAGGTGAAGTCCTGTTGATCTGGATTCAAATCTCTTTAAATCACAATCTTGAAGTCGAGAATATCATAGACAAAGAGACTCTAGTCGAACTATATTAAATTATTCGAACAGAGTAGCGCACAGTCGTTGGTAGCCGGAATTAAAATACGTTTGCAGTCAAGTGAAGCCAGCCCCTGGCCACGATAGTCTTTTAATACATACGGCTGAGCTGCTGTCATTTTCGATTTGATAAATTGCCAAATGCACAAAAGGTTTGCACAACTGTTGCCCCCGGGCTTACGGAGCTGACAAAACTGCCGTCTAACCTGTTTGCGTTAAGTGTAATGTCATCATTTGGGAATTAGTTATGTAAATGTTTGTGCATAAGTTCCTAGATGCCATCGCTGGTAATTGAATGTGCCAAGAATAGAAACGTTCAACTTCTGCCGTGTGTGCAAATCCATTTTAAATTGAACTGCTTCCAGTTGAAGCCCGATTATAATCGTTGTGAAAAGTTCTACTAACTTAATAATCCCCAAATAAATTATGGTTCGTTTTAAATTATAAATTTTATTGTATGTAATTCAAGGATTTTATGCGTAGGAGCAAGGATTTTACGTAAGAAACTTGATTTTATTTGTGGAAACCGTTGTCTGGGCCAGTCTTTTTTTTCCACACAAAAAAAATTAAAGAATATCTGTCGATATATATATATATCTGTATAACTGATTGACTGACCTCTCTCTCTCTCTCTCTCTCTCTCTCACTCTCTCTCTTTCGCCTGTTTTAACCCGATGTATTATACTTCTTTTGTAGATATCCTAAGCCGGGCACACAGAATCCGACAGTCACCCTGCGGGTAGCCGACCTGGCGGTTCCTGAGAAGATACACATCATAGACTTGAAACCGCCGAAAATTATAGAAAACGAGTGCGTATTGAAATGTAAAGCAAGAATGATTCGAATACTGAACACTCTCTCTCTCTCTCTCTCTCTCTTTTCGTTCTCTGCAGGGATCATTACTTTAGCAGCGCCAGTTGGGTAAGTGCCAAGGAGATCGCTGTGGTGTGGCTAAATCGGCCGCAGAATATATCCGTGGTCAGTGTCTGTAGGAGTCCCTCGTTTGTCTGCATCGAGGTATGTTGTTGCATTTACCTAATTAAGTGAGTTTGTGCTTATGTCCTGTGCATCCACCGGCAGACGCATCGTGTGAGCGGCGATGGACGCGGCTGGGTGGACACTGTCTCGGTGCCATTGTTTGCGGCCAATGCCAGCCACTATGTGGCTATATCGCCGCTGCGAGACGGCTCGTTTGGTAAGTGAGCCATATGTCAATCCGGCTTTTGTTTCGAGCTCAATACGCAACCAATACCAAATACTGAACCCTTACCCGCCCCATAACCGACAGGCTATTTCCGGCACATCGTGCACGTGGACATTGACAATAATCGCGTGCTGCCCCTCACACACGGACCCTACGAGGTGAATCGACTCCTGCACTGGGATCAGCTCGATAATTGGATGTAAGTAGCCAGCGGAAGCCGCAATTCTACAATCTAACTCAAAACTGATTCTCAAATTGCGATTAATGTTGCCCAGCAGTAAATTTAAGTACCACACATAAAATGACTTAAATGTCCGAAACGTGAATGGTTACATAAAAGCGACAGCTATTAAATTCAAGCGAAAAACTAGAACATGAATTGCAACTTGAATCAAGTGTTCCACAGATAGTAGAAAACACAGCTGCAATTACAACAAAATAGAACTGTCCGTGTTTTTTAGGGTTCGTTTCGAGAATCTTGTTTTCCACATTCAAACTTCGGTTTCCGTTTAATTTAAAACAACATTTTTTTGGCAATCCATTCGGTTTAAAGTTCAAGTTTGCTTTCTTGGTAAAAAAAAGTGCCTAACTTTAATGGTAAATGAAATTTCTTTAGATGCTCTAACCGTATTCCCTATATGTATCTGTAGCTACTTTCTGGGCACACCGGAGCGCCTGCCCTCGCAGCAGCATTTGTATCGCGTCTCGGCGCTGCCTGCTCGACAGGGACAGGCTCTGCAGGCGCCCGACTGTCTGACGTGTCCAGCGCTTATGCACGGCAGCGATGGCTATGACGAGGGTCAAACCAAATCGCCGCCAAAGCTGGTGACCGCCTGGGACGATGACTGGGAAGACTCCGAGGAGGCGGAGGCGCTGCCGCCGCCACCGGCCATGCCCGTAGAGCAGCAGCGACAGGCGCGTGGACACGGAGCGCCACCACCCAGTGATTGCCTGTACCATGAGGCACAGTTTCCGCTGACGCTGCGAGCGCGCTATGTTCTAGTGGAATGTCTGGGTCCAGTTGTGCCCAATTCTATAATATATGGCCTGAAGTTGCCCACTGGACCCAAGGCCAAAAAGCAAAGCCTACCGCAAGAGCAGCTAGCAGCAGAAGCTGCAGCTGCTGCTAAGGAAGCTGGCGAGCCGAAGTCACAGTTTCTGGAGCTGCTCGTCACCGTGCAGAACAACACGCGTCTCAAGGAAAAGATGGCCAAAGTGGCGCTGCCGCAGGTAAAAACCTTTCCAGTTATGATCTCCGGCGGCTATCATGCCCAGGTGCGTCTCTATCTGCCGCCCGTGCTGCGCGAGGATGAGATAACACGTTATCCCACCATATTGCACGTATACTCCGGTCCGGGCTCTCAACTGGTCACAGATCGCTGGCACATCGATTGGAACACCTATTTATCCGGCAGCAAGGATTACATAGTTATCGAGATCGATGGCCGTGGCTCAGCCGGTCAGGGCTATCAGCTGCTGCACGAGGTTTACAAGCGTCTGGGCAGCGTTGAGGTATCCGATCAGCTGGAGGTTAGCGAATACTTGCGCGATAATCTACACTTTATCGATGCGCGCCGCATGGGCGTCTGGGGCTGGAGCTATGGCGGCTATACTGCCGCCCTCGCCCTGGCCGGACAGCAGTCGATCTTCCAGTGCGGCATCAGTGTCTCGCCGGTGACCAATTGGAAGCTTTATGGTAAACACGCCCTTAACATATAATTATTGTTCAACTAGATTTTGAATATATACTGACAACTTTTCTGTTCTCCATGCCTCTTAGACTCCACCTATGCGGAACGTTATCTGAGTTTTCCGAACGTAACCGACAACTACAAAGGCTACGAGGAGAGCGATCTGTCCAAGTACGTGGACAATTTGCGCGAGCGTCAATTCCTGCTGGTGCATGGCACAGCGGATGACAATGTGCATGTCCAGCAATCTATGGTACTCGCACGTGCTCTGACCAGCAAGGGTGTGCTATATAAGCAGCAAATCTATCCCGATGAGGGGCACAGTTTGTCCGGCGTAAAGCGACATCTTTATCGCTCCATGACCGCCTTTTTTGAGGACTGTTTCAAGAAGCTGGTGAGTGGCTGCTGGCATCTGAGCTCAATATTGTTTGGCTCTATTTTGTAAATATATTCTACCACTCTCCTACCATAACTCTCTATTTTTCCTGCTCACCACAACCACCACCACCACCACCACCACCTTTACCACAACCGCCAAATGTCATAACTATCACAACCAACAATAACAACTACTACTAAAACCTTCACCTTCATTTCATTCCACACATTTGATGCGATATTGTCAACGATCTATCGCGTAGCTCGACCAGCAACAGCAAAATCAAACAGATTCCATGGATTTTCTGGACTTTCATAGTTTTTATGGCGGTTAAACGATTTATCCTCGGTTTTCGCCAGTTCCCAAGTACTAGGTACCGTCGCCGTTGTTATCAATCGTCGTCGTTGTTGTTTTTGTTGTCATTCGTAGACTTCTCTCTGTTTCGCTGTTTAAATGTCTTATTGAGCATTTTACGGGGACTGAAAACGTAAAAAAAAAAACTCAATTTTATTTGTCGTTTCATTAAGTTTCTGCTACATGATTATGCTTAAATGGAATATCTATAATATCATTTTTTAAACTTAAAAATCTGTTGTGGGCATGTTCTTTTGTAAGGTTTTAGTTTTCAAGGCTTCCAATGTCAAACTTATTTTTATTTTATATTTGAATAATGTTGGAGAGACATATCAAATTAAATCAAAACCTTAAAATTTCTCAAACTTTAAAAAACATATTAAAGAATTTTTTTTTTATGATTTATATAATATATATATTTCTTCTAGTTTTCTGGAGCATACACTCACAGCAAAATCAAGTGAATTTGGTACGGCGTTTTTCGTTGAGTGTATGCACATATCTTCTTCTTTCCTTCGTTGAGCTAGTTCTTTTTTCAGTTCTCTTTGTTCCATTTCCTTTCGTGTTGTTTCGTACGCAAGTTTTGCCTAAGTTTACGTTCATCTTATTATTAATTTTTTTGTTTAATTGTCGTGATGTTATTTAATGCCGCAAACAAATTGTTGGCTCTATGGCGTATGTACGTATGTGTGCGTATGCGTGCCTGTGTGTGTTTGTTTGTATGTGTGTGTAGATATTTTGGCGCTTGTTCTTTATTGGAACCTGGGGTGTAACACAGCACACACACACACACACACACAAAGAAAACCGATTCAGACACACCCACGCACACTTGCTATTTTACCTGAATGTTGCTTATGCTTTGATTGTGTCTTTAATTTACATAATATATATCTTTGGCCGTATCATATGAAGTCGATTTCGATTTGAAACTAACACGTTAAATTTAATTTCTATGTGTACACACAACAGGTGCCCCCAGAGACAAAGGCCGGCCTGGGCAGCGGCGGCGATATGCAGCAGCAATAAAAAGCAGCATCAACAGCATAAGCAGCAGAATATCCAAATTTTTTTTGTTTACAGCAGTGCGAAGCAATAAACGAAAGCGAAAAGTGCGAGAAACACACACACACACACACACACTTGTTCACTAGGTTTATATGCAGTATTTGTTTAATATCGCGCAAAATATCGATACCATTGAAAATATTCGATAAATAAGTAATTCGTCTGGTCCCACTTAATTGACTGATCAGCCATAACCTAATAAGAAAAGTGATCCGTCATCATCGAAGGAGAAAATTGTCGTTCACAAAGTGTGTTTTCTATATATTGTCTCGCGTATGATCGTTGTAAAATATAGACGCAGCCAAATGGTTACAACAATAAGTGTAAATGCTAAGTGAACGTGCGTAAGAAAGAAAGCGAAAAAACATGGTTGTGAGAACATGACGCCATCATGGCAAGCAGTTACACACACGCATACACAGACATGAACAAATGTGCAACATACATACATACATACATACATAAATGTTAATGCCTCCCGCCGGATAAAACAGCGCGTAAGTCTCGCATATTTGCTTTGATTTATTCGATTTTTTATGCACTTGCTGCATAAATTTGCAAAGGGGTTTGACCGAAAATGAAATACCAAAATATACAATATATTTATTGTAGTGCAAAGGTCACCAGGTGGCACTGCCAAATGTCAACAGGAGGGGTCACAGGGAGAGCGAGAAAGCGTTGCGAAGGAAATTACTATCATAAATCAATTTACAAACATTTGGAAAAGCAATTTAAATAACATTTTCTGATAACAGAGAGGCTAAAATTTTGTTCAATGATGGCAAACATAAATCTCATATGGAGTTTATGAGCCGCAATTATTTATTGCAGGTATTAGTAGTATATTTTTTTTTTGCCAATTTTTTTATTTGTATACCCTGAACCCATTGAAAATGGGTAAAAAGGTATTTGTGCAAAATGCAAATGTATGTAACAGGCAGAAGGAAGCATCTCCGACCCCATGAAGTATATATATTCTTGATCAGCATCAATAGCCGAGTCGATCTAGCCATGTCCGTCTGTCTGTCTGTCCCAATCTCAGAACCTATCAGAACTACAGACTTGAACAGACTCCTAGTGCCTGCGCAGATTGAGTTTGTTTCCGATAGTCGATAACTTACTCCGTTTCCAAGCATTCGATAAAAATCGATATCGATATCCTGTTTTTTTTGGGAAATTTTGGTAAATAATAAGAGCTAGAGTCACCAAACTTGACATATAGCTTCTAAAATAGAATATATATATGCATTTGATGTTGGAAGAGGGTTCAGGGTATCCCCTAGTCGGGAGCTCCCGGCTAGAGCCTCTTACTTGTTTTTTAATTTATTTGGTGTTGGAATAAGAGGGTTCTTATTTGTTTTTTTTTTTTTTTTTTTTGCCTATTTATTTATTTTTTTTAACAATTAGTACAATCAAAAACTTCTGCAAAGTCTGATGGAATTGCTCAAAATTAAAAGATTGCTCACATTAATAGCTTTAATATAAACAATATATATTTGCTTTAAAATTTCCGCACTCCGCAAATGTTGCCCTGTTGACCCCCCGCACATTTAAACACTTTTTGCACTCGCATTAAAACCGTAGAATTGAATGAAATGAAAATGCTGCAATAAATAGGACATAAATAATAAAAAATGAGCGCGCAATCGCGCAAATATAAAAAAATGAGCAGCCATGAAAGAACAAAACATAAATCTGAGCATTCGCAAGCACAGCAAGAAATCAATTTAATTGAATGCTAAATTAAAAACAAAATGGCCAAATTCAATTATAATTTAATTGTGAACTTAAGCATAAATACTGTTTGCATGTAAGTAGCGCAATAATAATATTTAATATCTAATAGTTATATTTATTAGTATATTAATTCAGTTCATGTTGATTGCAACAACTTCGCACCGAAGGCAAAACCAAAAGTACATTTCTAAATGAGCGTAGTGAATGTAGCGTTAAATATATATTAGTAAACCAAGCCCAATAATGTCTAGAAATTAAGTGCAAAAAACCAAAGTAAACAAAAACGAAAAGGTCAAAAATAGCTGCGATACACGTTTAAAATTCGAATGCGACTGGCAGAAAGTTGGCAAATATAAATAAAATGCCAACAAACTAAATGACATCGCGTCGCAATCCGGTACCGCGTCCTGCGGGCTACCAGAACGCGTCCGACAGCGTCATGTATGCATAAGGATTAATTTAATTAGGCTTTTTTTTTTTTTATTTTTTGTGGCGCAACAGCTCAGCCAGCTAATTAGCAGTTGGACAACTGCAGCTGCTCGTTGTGATGGCGGAAATATGCGTCGAAACTAGGTGAAAATATGCGCAATGCAGAATACTTATATACCCTTTCGAAGGACCTTATCAATTTGTCAGCGAGTGCGTAACGTACCCAATCAATTAGCCGCACTTGAATCCGTTTTAAACATTTATTAGCTGGCAGCAATTTTAAGAGTTTAGTCTTTTTATTAATTTCAAATATTATTCCAACTTGATAAAAAAAGCTCTGAATTTTATATTTTAAAAAAGTTTGATAACTTTTTGGGCCAATTTTAATTTTAACTTTTTATCCATCTAATTTTGCGTTCGCGAAATTTGCTAGAGAAAAAAAGCCACAGTTCAGTGGCTCACATATGTATGTGTGTGTGTGAGCGTGTGTATGTTTGTGTGTGTGTGAGCTTCTGTGTGCTAAAGCTTAACAAGGCCAGCATAAATTTATATCTGGCTGACACCTAATGTGCGGCTTAGGCGATTTTTTTTTAATTTTACGTTAGCCCAAGTTTGCCTGTTTTGGCAGACGCAATTAACATGCGTCCAAAAGGACACACAGGAAGCACACACACACAGGCAGCACACCTGGACAGTGACGCCCACGCTTAGGGCCGTGTACACGGTTGCAAAAGGTCGTCACAGCTGTGGGCAGCATGAAAAGGGCAGCTGCCTTTGAAACATGGCTCGTCTCTCTGTGTTTGTTGACACAAAAAGGTGTTTGCTTAAAGTAGATGACAAAAAAAAAAAGAAAAAACTAGGGGCTAGGTTGGACAGTTGAGAAGCCTGCACACACACACATGCACACACAAATGTTGGTGGTCTTCATCGAACTGTGGGGCAAAGGCGAACTTTAGATGACATAAATGACAGCTCTGGCTGCTGTTGGCTTATGTTTCTTTTTTGTTTTTATTTTTTTCTCATCTTACAAACCCAATTATAACAATACTTTCACACATTATGTGGGGCAGAAAGAGTTTACTTTCCAACTCAGTTGAAAATTTCATAAAGATCGAAGAGTGTAAAACTCGAACGGAATCATAAGCACACATTATTTACACATGCATTGAGCTAGGTTTCAGTTGAACTGTGTCAGATTCTTTTCATTTTAAGAATATTGAAATTGTGACACACGATTTTTTTATTTTTCCTTTGTAAATTGCTTTGAGTTGAAATTGAAAGATTTTCTCTCTACACTAAAATCGGACAATATAAATTTTTGTCTTATTCTTCAAGCTCTTTCCGATTGGGTATAAAATTTTGTTGATTTTGGAGAACATAATTCCGCACACTAATCAAAGAACATTAACACTTTTTGACTTGTCCAAGAACTGGGCTGTAACTTTCTTTCATTTAAGCCAAACGCTTATAATTTTCTGCACTTTTAAGCAATGCATTTCTGCTCGATAAACGCTCCGTATTGCCCATAGTGCTCGCTGCTCTGGCGGCTAATCTAGCTGGGGGGAACTTGAACTGCCTCGCGGTGTCATTTGTCTGCGCGCTCAAATGTATGCTATAGAAATTTAAATTGCTCTACAGTTTTTAAAAGCTTTCTATGTAGTGTACTAAGGACCAATTACCAAAAGAATTCTCTAAATACGAGTATTTAAAAGATATTTATATAGAACAGCGTAGTGAACAAATTACAATTACATAATTTGCAATACATATATACATATATACACATACATATACACAAAGGTATATAGTACATATGGATAAATCAATAAATATATAAATATATATATTAAATATTGACTTGCAATTTAGTAATTATACAAGCAAAAACTATACAAAATTTATATATGCATGTGCATATAATATATATACGATTCGTAGTCTAGTTCGTTTAGTGGATCAAGCGTTGGCATTATTCGAGTTACAAACCAATCCAAAGCAAAAAACAAAATAAATAAATAAGTAAATAAAAAAGAAGCGAAAACCGTTTTTATAGTCGTAAGAAAAATTTCAAAAGTGTGTACTGTTAATTAGATTGTTAGCTCAAAGGTACAGAAATCGAAAATATGAAAGCTATGTAAAAATAATAATAATAATAATAATAACTGTAATATATGCGCCCTATATAACTACCAAAAAAGAAAAAAGTAACTATACTTTGATATATGATACATATATTTTATAAACAACTTTACTCTTAAACAATAACATTTTAATACTCTGTCTTCAGCCTTAAAACAAAACAAAAGAAAACAAAACAAAAAATGAAAAATGAAAATGATAAACGAGAACAAAACATTGAAAATGAGCATGAACTAAAATGAGTAACTCTATTTATAGGGTCGCGATTGTTTCAAATTAAGCCTAAGCATAAACCAACGAAAAACTATGCACTTGTTAGTTATGTTTAATGTAAATACGCTTTACAACGGTTACTTAACTTTTACTCATACTTGATTTATTTTGTTATTAGGACGTTTGACAAAAACCTACTTATGTGATCCAACAATTTCTTCTCTTCCATGAAGCTACAAAAAAAAAAAAAGAAAAAACACACAAAAACAAATGAAAAACAATTATTAACGAAATTAATATAAATTACCAATTATGTAATACATTGACTTAATTAGCTGAGATGTTCAATAATTTCGCCAGGCATTTAGCAAACTCAAAAAAAAAAAACAAAAGGAATATATATATATATATATACATACAATAAACCAAAGCATGAAAGCCAAGAAAAAAAAATAATATATCAATGGGTTGATCAGCATGGTACTCACTGAGTATGTTTCAACTTAAATCAAGCTTGAACTTTCTTAAATTAAGTGCAGCAATCTTTTTACCAGCCAAAAGCATTTAATACTGAGCCCAATCTAACACATGCTGGATTTCAGTTAGATACACTTTACACTTATTTCAGGCATATAAATTCTTGGCATAAGTCTTTAGACTATATTCAAGCATTTAATTTTTATTATACCCTTGCAGAGGGTATTATAATTTTGTCGTGAAATGTGTAACGCATTGAAGGAGACATCTCCGACCCCATAAAGTATATATATTCTTGATCAGCATCAACAGCCGAGTCGATAGAGCCATGTCCGTCTGTCTGTTTCTATGCGAACTAGTCTCTCAGTTTTTAGGCTATCTTGATAAAACTTTGCAGAAGTCCCTTTTTCTGTTGCACGCAGCTCATGTCAAAACCAGCTGGATCGGACCTATATCATATAGCTGCCATAGGAACGATCGGTCGAAAATTAAGTTGTATTAAAAAACATTTTGTTTTTCAAGATATCTTGACCAAACTCGGCATTTATTAGTTTTACTATACTCCTCATATATATATGCAAAATCCTATTAAGATCGGACTACTATATCATATATCTGCCATAGGAACGATCGGTCGAAAACTAGGTTTTTGATTAAAACCCTTTTTTGTTTATCAAAATATCATGACCAAACTCGGCATTAACTATTTTCCCTGTGCTTCTTAGATACGGGCAAAGCACTATAAGCATTATGAAAAGGTTGGGTCTGCAATTAGATGTTCGGCGTGCCGAACATAGCCTTTCTTTCTCATTTTCAATTTTTATTGAGTAACCGTTGCATTTTTAAGCGCATAATCTCTTGAATTTTAGCCTAATTATTATAGAAGCTTCTCTTATAAATCATATTCTCACCTCTGGGGAACGAATTAGAAAGAAATATTGCGGCCGGCGCACAAAAGTGTGCTATTCAATTTGCAATGCCAGCATGTCTGCAAAATCGAAAAATGTAAACCGTGAAAGCCCCAACGACTGCAAAATCTGCATAAAACATGCTACGAATTGCAGTCCAAAGCTGGCCGCGCCACATTCCCTATTCTAGCCAACATTCAGTACATTTGCTGGGCTGACCAACAAAGCGGCACGCAAATGGCCACAAAATGTTCGTCTGGCATGCAATGGCCCCTAGCCCTGGGCCAGGTAAGTCGGATATAGGGGGAATGGCTAGATTGTAAGGGGAGGGGAGGGGGAGGGGAGGGGGGGGGGCATTACAAGCAAGCCAAACTTTTGACTTAATTGGCCAATTGTTTGGCTGGACACAAAAAATAAAAGTTGCATATTTCATCGCGCAACGGCGTCTTGAAGGCGTTACAATTCGGCCAGGTGGTAAATTTGAATAACTATAATTTCAACTGCCCTACGTTTAGGCGGGGGCGTGTGTCCGGCTAATTGCCGCAGCAATGAAGCACACTTGAATATTATTTTTTCTTTTTTTTTTTACTGAGCCATTGCTGAGTTGTCAAGTGCATACGACTGGCCAGAGACCAGAGTCTGCAATTAGGTGCACAAATTGCAGGCCACTTAAGTGAAACCCGAGCAGGCTAAGGCACTTCATTGCCCAGCAATCAGTACCATTAAAATATATAAGCATAATTATAAGTGAGACTCTTGATTGAAGTTGTTTGAAGTGTGACAGTTGACTGCTATTAAATATTATTTATTTTCTCGTTTCAGGTAAACGATTCAAGGTAAGTTACTCAAGTATACACAATTTCTTTTTTTACGTATTTTAAGACACGCAAATTTAAGTGTTTTGTCATTGAACCAGCGCTCTCTCTTTTGCCCGTCAGTTTGTTCGTCGGACAGTCCGTGTAAACGCGTCGATCTTAGAACCTATAAGAGCTGGAGACTTGATATTTTAAGCGAAGGTCCGCCTAGTACCTGCACAGGTTGAGTTTGTTTCCGATAATTGACAATCCGTTTCCAAGCAATCGATTAAAATCGATATCGAAATCATGTTATAAGAGCAAATCTCCTAGGTTTTAAGAGCAGGAGTCACCAAATCTTACATGTACATTCTAGAATAGTGTTAGCAGAACATATTTTATAGCTACCGTCACGGCCTGAAGTATTAGGTCAATTAAAAAATAAATTCAAGATAGTCTCATTTCGTGACTCATTGCAACGTGTCTTAAGCTCATGTTAAACTCAATGCGCTTTGTAACTATAGTTTTCTGTTAAAATAATCAAAATGCCTCATTACAGCATGTTAAACTCCGTCCGAATTGTAGCTTGAGCTTTCTGCTAATAAATTAAAAATAGTTCATGACTCACAGCGTGCTTTAAGTTAATGTTAAGTCCCAACCGCATTGTAACTAAAGCTTTCAGTTAACAAATTCAAAATAGCTTCATGACTCATTGCAACGTGTCTTAAGTTCATGTTAAACCCCATCTGCAGTTTAACTTGAGTTTTCTTTTAAAATATTCAAAATAAATCATTACAGCGTGCCTTAGGTTCATGTTAAGTCGCATCCGTATTGTAACTAGAGTTTTCTGCTAGTAACTTAAAAATAGAGTTACACTTAATGACGTTGCATTGCAACTTGTCTTAAGTTTATGGTAAACCCCATCTGCATTGTAGCAAGAGCTTTCCATTGAAATATTCAAAATGACTCATTACAACGTACCTTTAGATTGTGTTAAGCCCCATCCGCATTGTAACTGGAGCTTTCTGCTTATGTATTCAAAATAGAGTTACACTTCATGACTCATTGCAACGTGTCTTATGCTCATGTTAAGCCCCATCCGCATTGTAACTAGACTTTTTGATTGTTGTAGCTTAATTTTTGCCCTGTGATAAATTAAATGCAAATTTACAATGCTTGCTCCAATTTTGTGAAGCGTTCATATTTTTAATTTTGTGCACACAAGCTATATTTGGCGCTAAGCTCATGCCAATCAATGGCCGGCGAGTGCCCCGCGCCCCGACGAGGCTGCCTCCAGTTAAAATTCGGCAATTCTTTTTACGCCGGGCAGCTGACTGGCCGTAGTACGACTCAATAGAGTAACGAGCTGCGACTTTAATGCCTTGTATGCGAACGGACAGAACATATATAAATAATTTACATTTCGCATGGTCACGCACAAATCATGCGAGGGAGGCACAGACAATGCCGACAAAGGAAAGCCCCTGCCACCCTCCAGCCATGGTTGTGCATGGGTCTGGGCGAATCGTGCTGGGAATTGGGTTGGGCTTGGGCCTGGATTTGGGTCTGGTGCTGCATGATGCGTATAAAAGTGACAGTTTAACATGGAAACACACTCAAAATGTTAATTGATATGCAAGGCGAGGCGGGCAGTGGGGCAGACTACGAAAGTTTTGCTGCCTTTTTTTTTAGCAGGCGTTGGCAATGAAATTGTTTGTCATGACTGTGAAAATCCATTGCAGCTTTATCGGTGCCCTTTCTTAGCTGTCATTGAGCTCAGAATGAACTACTTACAAATCAAAGATCATAAAGTTGTTGCGATTAAACGTGTTAAGCGCACAAATCATGTATACAATTCATATACTACCAAATGTTACCCGGCCTTGTCCGGTACAAGTTCTTTTCGCTCAATATAAGTTATCACTTTGCGTCCTTTGAACCGCCCTTGAGTTCGATTGAATAATAAAGCAACAAGTCTATTAAAAATCGATTGATTTAAATTTTTTGCACAGCTAATTGAAAGAAAAATTTGCCTGTGTGCATTTTTAAATAGATATGTATTCTTTCATGCATTGAAATCGACACAAATTTTCTTAAACTTGCGTGTAAAATTTTTCAAAACGTTATATTAGCTAGATGTAAGACTATGCGATCACAAATCAGCCAATCAATCACTCAGTCAATCGGTCAGTCAATCACTCAATCGATATTATTATTTTATTATATTATGTTTTTTAGTATTGATCAATCTTTCTGTGCGTGATTAATTGTGGGTACTGTTATTTTGTTTACTAGGTAATTTTTTGTTATTCCCAAAATACGCTTTAATTACTTTTTGAAAAGGCGGGTGTGTGGTCTGTCAGTTTTTGAACAATTCCGGTTTGCGCGCTCTTCTAATAAATAAGTTTTGGTATTTTTTAATATGCTTGGTATTTTGCGGGGGATTTTACTTACTTCATGCAAACGGTCACACTGAACGCGTATCAAACCGACTCAACAGCTGTTATCTTGTTATTCTGCTGCTGCTCAGGTGTTTTTGCTTTATTTATCTCTGATCAATGAGAATGAACATCGACCAGCTAAATGACGACTGCCTGTGCATTATATTGGAGTACTTGACATTGCCAGACCAAATCGCAATGGCCCGGAGCTCGTTGCGGTATGAGGAGCTTCTCACCGAAATTGTGTGGCGCAAGCCGCGTTACCGTGAGGTATCCATATCGGATGATATGCTGGCGCCACTGAACAAGGAGGATTATATGTACTTTTTCAAGCTGATCAGCACATACATGGAGAAGCTGTACATCTGGAATGTGCATGACAAGGCGTTCGATTCGTATCTGGGCCGGCATTTGATGCGTCCCGAACTGGTCTTCTATCTGGACCTTAACCTGAACAATCTGCGCGAGCTATGCGTCACCGATAATTACATAAACAACAGCATGATACAGATCGTAACAAAAAGATGTCCACACCTGCACAGCCTGAGCGTGTCCAGCGCCTATATAACGGGCAAGTTTATGGTTGACCTGCCAAATCTGCAGACGCTTGTGGCGCGGGAGTGCTCCATCGAGGCTGAGCACCTGGCCGAGCTGCTGGCACAGCTGCAGCTGACCACACTTGACCTCACATCCAATCGATACAATTTGGAGCAAACCATACTGGAAGCGCCCGCCGCTGGCCTCTTACGTTTGCAGCGTTTGGGCATCTCCGATGCACAGGACTGTGGCTTTCGCATCGCTGAGCAGCTGCCACAGCTAAAGGAGCTGGTCGTCAGCTATCATGGCGTTATGGCGCAGGACTTGCATGATATGCTGGAGACAACGCGGCAATTAGTTGAGTCCTCGGATACGAAATTCCCAAAGCGCCTGCAATCGATTATGTGCAATGTGGTCGATGTGGAAGTGGCCCTCGAGCAGATAACTGGCCTGGAGACGCGCTGTCCACGCGAATCTCCCAAATTCTGTAAGATTTTAAAGATAATTTACAAATGCAAATAGGCCATCAAATGTTGCTACTCGTTAGCTATTTTTAGAGCAATGCATTTGGCATTCTAATATTGGCATGAAGTGCATATACATATATGTATGTACAGTGAAAGCTCGCTTAGGCGAATATCTAAGGTTAAAGTTTTCTGCCCTCTGATGTGATTACATAACGTAAAAAGTAAAAAGACAACAGAACATACACTCAAATTTTACCAAATTTTTACCAAAGTTCTTTATGACAAATAAAAGACAACGTATAAAACAATTTCTTTGGTCAACAAAAACAGCGAATCGCTTGATTCAAGATATCTTGTTGCCATCTCATATCCAGATTTGTTTCATGTCCGCTAATTACATGTCTTACCAAAGAAATTATAAACGCTAAATTCATCCTACATTGAAATGCGGTGCTGTGAGTGGCTTATCGCTCTCCAAAAGCCACACGAACGCATGCCGAATGCATCTTTTTGTTACTTACACGAGCAGCACAGGGCCAGTCGAGAGACTGCCTCTGGCAAAGCTGTTCGGTTCTCTGGAGCACTCGTTATATGTGTGCTTTATATGGTTATGGTATATATATATTGTCTTCGATAAACAATTGCTTAATTGTAAAGGCACATTTTAAAATAAAACCATTTTATGCCGTAGGTTTCACTATTCTTCTTGCACAAGTCCATGTTTTGTTACTATCTGCATTTGCTTTGGCTTTCGTAAAAATTAGTTGTGTTAGCTTACTTATCTAAGTTTGGATCAACTGACAAAATTTCAAAGAACCCAATTTTCGATTGATCATTCAAATGGCAGCCATATGAACAACAGAAAGACATACCAAAGCCTGAGATTTGGCTTTGATGACAGCTTTTTAACTAAGACTCGTTTGCATAGATATCGACAGACGGATAGGTTGAAAGACGGACTCGGTTGTTGATGCTGATATATAGTTTAAGGGTTCGGAATTACCTCCTTCTATGGGTTACACATTCCATGACAAAATTATAATACCCTCTACAAGCGTGTAAAACAAAAAAAAAAAACAAAATTGCAAATGTTTTGCTTCGATATTCAACGGAATTCCGTCGAAAGCTTCGGCATGGAATCTGTATTTATCAGTTTCCAAAATGTATATAAATATTTGTATAATGAGAGCAGCAAATTCTTTTGGCTGAAATATCTTGTTCTACTTCTGCGTTTGATTAAGGTGTTTGCATATCCGGCATCTTTATACTCTTAAATCCATTCCCAATATTTTGCTGTTTCCGAAATATTTGCTTCTGCATATTAAACTATTCTAATTCGTCAATTCCGTTCAGCTTGTTAGTTATCTGCCCACTCTGCAATATATAATTAACAATTATTACTTAATTAACGTTCTGTGAATGCTTGAATTACTTTTATATAAAAAATATAAAATTTATGCTGAAGTAGCTGAAGCTGAAAGAGCATACTCATTTGTTAAGCATTTGTCGCTCTTCAGGTTCTCTTAAATTTCCAGTTCCAAATCAATTCTTAGACTTTTAGAGACCCGATGCTGAGAGATCATTCTCATTTTTAAGGCATTTGTCGTTTGGTTTGAGAGACAGTGTCTGAATTCCGATTATGTTCTCCAATATTCAGTCTACTTTCGCAATTACTCACTTCAGTTTAATCTTCGGTTTTATAAGCTGCAGTCAAGTTTTCTAGCTGCACAATTCGTTGAATACTTAAGTATATTCAAGAACTTCGCAAACATCAAAATAACATTGTTTGAAGCATGAAAAACGTGTTTCCAATTTATCAAATCAATGTTTCAAATGCACATACGGTTGATTTGTATTGTTTTATTTTCAACGCGATAAATATAATGCAATAGTTTGTTAGTCTGTGAAAAAGTGAACAGTCAATGCTTAATGTATAAAAATTAGTATGTCCATTTATTAATATCCTTTTGTGGGTAATTAAAGCTACATGCAATGTGAAAAATAAAATGAAAGCAAATCGTTGAAGTGAAAGAAAATTTCAAAGTTGTATAATAAGTGGACTCAAATATGAGAACATTACGCCAGAGAAAATGCCAGTCACAAGCATCGCGGCAGCAAACATGCCGGCGGTTATTTGATATTTGACATTAACCGTCTGTGGTGCATACATCATGCCCAAGGAACTTAGATAGCCGGAGCTATAGGACATTATAATCGCAATGATCCAATATAACCAATCGTTGGTAATAAAAACTGGTAGAGTTCGAACAATATCTTTCGGTGCATAATTACAGAATATCAGTAAGGGTATAAAAACGACACGTAAAACTACAGGCACAACCAAAAATTTCGGTCCGGGCCATTGTATCCAGGACGTGGTCAAGCTGCCCAGCATCGCGAACACATTGAACGTTAGGAAACATGTGACTAATGTGAAATACTTTTCGCCAATTATAAAATCGTTGGAACGCTTAATATCCGAGTGGACGGCTGGAAAAACAGCTAGTGTAACAAAGAAAGTAAAAAATACGTTAAAAAGCTGTGGCGAAGCTTTCTTAAATATTTTCCAGTAGGGTACATTTAACTGGCTGTTCGACTCGGATTTCTTTTCGCTGCTCAGCATTTCATAATGCTTGAAGAATTTGTTTAAAGGCAGCGCGAAATACGTGTCAAAACAAAAGAGTAAAATCAAAATTGCAGTTAAAAAATAATATATAGCCGATGTTCGCATTGAGGTGAAAAACATGGAACATAACATAGACATAATCGTGGCAAAACATCCGCTTATATTTGATCCCAAAACTACGGCACCCGTATATTTGGGTGGTAAGGCCGCAACGAGTCCATAAATAGTGCTCTGATAGATGCCGTTGCACTGAAAAGAGAAAATTGTTTGTTTATAAATTGTTGTTTTGCTAGAGCTGATGATTACATTGAAAATAGAAAATTGTTTGTTTATAAATTGTTGTTTTACTAGAGCTGATGATTACATTCCCTGCTTATCTATCATAATTGCTAAGTTTATCGAAGATGTGTCGTTGATGAATAACCTGATTCCATTACGTTCTTAAAATGTTACATTCGCACAAAAAATGCAAGAAATGTTGACAGTGGAATAAGGCTATAACAAACAATTTGTTCATAGAAAAACTATATTAGAACCATGTAGCAGATTTTTAGACAGATCTATTCCAGTCGATGTAAATTGATTTAGAACAGAAACAGACTGACTAATAATCTATATTCTTTATAGAACCGAATATGACTCCTCTTTTACGGTAAATTGTAATATACCCGGGGACTCACCATGTTTATAAGCACAATGGAAGACATTGTAGTCCAAAAGAATATGCCAGGCCACTATTGCGGAATAGATAAATACAAATTAGATTTCAGTAATAAGTAAATTGAACATGAGCCTACCTCGGATGAGTCCACCATGGCGAGCACAACAGTTATTATCAGAATAACCAGTTCGAATAGAATGCTAAATACAATACGCTTGGTTAGATCACCGCCAAAATTCATGAATATGTTTAGCCAATTAAAGAGGACATTCGGGATTTGTGAAGCAAAGCCCATATTCTGCATAAAGTTACCTCTGTAATTGACCTCACTTTTAACCGTGTAATTTTCACCCAATTTAAAGTCCTCAAAATATGATTTCGCTGTAATAAACATATTCCAGGGCATCAGTGTGCCCAGCCCGTGCAGCACAAATATGAAGAAGACCAGTTTATATTTATCCTCTGGCGGCTGCAGGGTTGACATGAGTTTTGACATCATGAAGCCAGATCCTTTGCCATTGGGATTCGCCTTCATTTGGGATTCATATGATGGATTCAGTTTCACTGGCCGCTTCTCATCAATGAAAGGCGACTCTTCACCTCTTCTGTTTGCCATTTTGCTTTTTCGGTTGGTTGCTTTCGAAGGCGGGTGAGGCTTTAATTAACTTTAATTGTTGGGTTAGCAACAGGTTTCACGGGTTCCACGAGCTTGTAGCTGGCACCAAAACCTGGTCAGGTAATGTTTTAATTGATTCTAGGCAAGAAAAGGCACTTTTAAAATCTTAGATAAGATTGAACACGATTATTTATTGTCCTTGAGAATAGATTAGGTTAATCAGCGCGTGGCCCAACAACCGTTTCCGTGTTACCAGAGTGCGCGATTTCAAATGTTCCCAAAAAAAACTGAGCAAGAAAATCCGATTACTCATTGCATTATTAGTGAGCATGTTCTAGTTGTTAAGAGAAAAATCAATGAAAATTATAATTATTTTTCTTAACATTCCGCAATTTCGTTTAATAGCCTTTGTCCACTGACCAAATTTCTTACACATTTCTGAAAATGTCACAGTTTTGCAAAATGTGTAAAATGCGGCCTGTAAAATATCACATCAAACATATTACATTTTTAAAAAATGTGTAAATTTGGGATGATTTATCGAGATTTCTAACGATGTTGTGAAAAATGGAAAAGAATCATAGCCATATACAACGGCAACTTTAAATAAGAAGTTTTAAATTGTACCTATCCCTCAGTTATTAGCATTTAAACTTGGCAAAATGTCAAAAAGAGTATGTAAAATGGGATCCTTACTTCGAGATCGCATTATTTGAGTTTTGGAAGAAAAACTTTGCGACGCTTACTAAATTAAAGCAACTCGATTAGCTGTTTATTTAAAGAAGCGGTACTTTTCCCACTCACATTTCGCCGACAACCGGTGGAACACCAATATGTGAAATTTGAAAATGTGACATTTCTTAAGCCAGTGGAGAAAGGGTATAATAACTGGTACAAAAACTTGCTTCAGTGGGAACCATTTGGGAACTAAAAAGTGCTAACTATCGATATATTTTTTATTTTATCTATCGATTTTTTTTTAATGTGATTTAAGTCGCAATGGCATCCATACAGTTGGGCGATTATATTGTTATTCAGCGTCAAAAGTACACGAAATTGCAAAAATTTGGCAGCCTTGATGCGACAGCCACATTGGGTAAGGAGCATCTGGAGCTGAAGTCGCTGCTGGATCAACCGTATGGCTCCACGTTCAAGATGTGCGTCAAGGAGTCGAAGGTGGGCAAACGAGGCGCCCAGCGGCAGCACCGGCTCGAGCTGTGCACCGAAAATGAATTGCGCAGCATACGGGATGTGCTAAACATTTCCAGCAGTGGAGCCGACAATCGGGACATCAGCGACAATGGCGAGGCGCAGGCCCTCAAGTCCGCGGTACGTAGGGCTCAGGTTTACCGCGTGTTACAAAGAAAGAAAAAAAAAAACAACAACAACAATGGCAACCTTCACTTGCAGGACATTGAGCAGCTGCGCGAGGCGTGTAACGAGTCCAGCAAGATAATTGAGAAGCTGGTGAAGAATTCGAAAACATTTCACACACGCACCGAGTACTCACAGGACAAGTATCTGCTGAAGAAGGAGAAAAAGTACTTTGAGTTTGTCCAAATTCGCCAGCCCAGCATACGTCTAATGGCCGACATATTCCATCGACAGGATGCTGATAAGATAATGGGCATACGTGTGGATACGCTCTCCCAAATAATCTCCTACTCGGGTGTCTCTGGCTTTGGCAGCTATTTGTTGTACGAGAGCGGCACGAATGGTCTCTTGCCGGCGGCCATGCTGAACTCCATGGGTGCCGGCACAGAGGCAACACTTGTACACATGCATCCCGGCAATGTGCCCCAAAAGCAAGCTCTGCTGGCCCTCAAATTACCACTGGAACAGCAGCAGCGCTGCATCTCGGTCAATCTGTACTCGGTGCTGCGTGAGTTTTATCAGGGCGACAAGCCAGAGGCGAAAACAGAAGCTTCCACAGAAGTGGAAACAGCGGCGCCAACCAAGGAGGCAGCGGAGCTAGTAACCCCCACAGATGACAGCGATACCAACACGGAGGAGCAAAGCGACAACATTGAGCCCAGCTCCAAGAAGGTCAAATTGGATGAATCGTCAAACTGTAAGCAATCTATATCTAAAGCTGTTGCTCCTGACTAACTAAATTGATTAGAATCGAAAACCGGAAAATTCACCCCGCAAATGTGGAAATTATTTGAAAATGGCGGCATAAAACTTACTTATTTTTCCATCAAATGTATAACAGACATTCTGATAACCCGACAATATAAATATTAAGGCGATTTATATGATCTTAGATTAATTATGACCAATTCAGCAAGAATACGTACTTCGACGCAGATCAGCACTGGCCAGCTTTGCCAGAGGCAGGCTGGCGACTGACCCAGTTGCTCATGAGAGCATCAACAAGTTGCATTCGGCATGCGGTCGTTTCGACCTTGCTGCCATAGCAAGAAAGATACTTGATCCGTAAACAAGATAGACAGAAAAAAAGAGAGGCGCACATGGCTAGACCGACTCGGCTATTGATGCTGATCAAGAATTTATATAGTGTATGGGGTTGGAAATGCTTTCTTCTGCCTGTTATATACAATTGCAAAAATGCATTACCCATTTCCAATGGGATCAGCGTATAATAAATGGAACTTGCTTTGGAAAATCACTTTGGAACTTAATTGGCAGGCTGCCAATCAAACGAATGATATATTTCAATTATTTTTTGATTTTACTTAAAGCAACCAACAAATCTGGGCCTTTGCGCTGGCAACTGGAGAACAAACGCGCCGCTGCGCTGATGAATGCGAAATTCGACAACCTGGTGATGGCTGCCAAGGAGCATCCATCGAATATATTGCAGGCATTGCTGCCACTGGTGAAACCCTCGCGACCCATTGTTATCTTCAGCACGTGCAAGGAGCTGCTGCAGGAAACTTATATGGAGCTGAAGACGTCCGGCAAGGTGACCAACCTGCATGTGACCTCCAACTGGATGCGCATGTATCAAATACTGCCAAATCGATCCCATCCCGAGGTCAATATGAGCGGCAACAGTGGCTACCTCTTGACGGGCTACACACTGAAATAACTAAAAAGTGACTAAGGATCAGCTGGCGAAGGATGACACCAGCAAAACACAAATTAGTTATGTAGTTAGTTAAACGAGAACTAGGTAATATGCAGAAACAATTACCGACAATACAGTACAAGCTCGGTTTAACGCACAGCCGGACAGCTTAAATCTTAATGAACTTGTTTCCCCCATTTTATATTCGAAATGGTATGAATGCATTTCATACATTTCTTAGTCATATTTCAGATCCAAATAACCTCAAATTATCGACGATTTAACATAGCTGTGTATATCTTATAGCTTACACCTTCAGGAATTATTATTGTACCGACTAGGATATCGTCTGATAAATTTAAACCTGATCTGTGCGTAACAGAATGATCCAATATACCACATTTATTCACATTGAATGTCAACTGATTCTCCGCATTATGGCGATCTTTTAAGACAGACGAACGGGCGGGCGGACAGACATTGTTATTTGGACTCTGCTATTAATGCTCAGTAGTAACGAGTCAGAGATTCTTCCATTATACCCTTCTCCCCACATTATCAATGGGTACAGGTTATAGAGTGTTCCAGACAGAGCTGTGCTTTAAAGAGAGCGCTCAATGTATGCGAATAAACAGATGTCCAATTTTGGATAATATCATGCAATGTTTTATGACTACTATTTAGGTTTCGATACGTGTTCTTTTCTGTAGATCAGTTCAATTTGTTTGTTGGCGTGTGAATTTGTTGTGTACGAGTATTTATTATGTATGAGAATTTGTTGTGTACGAGTATTTATTATTGATGAGAATTTGTTGTGTGTGTGTGTGTGTGTATTCGTTGTGCGTTTGTGTGTAGATACAGCGCTCCATTTGTCCCGTGCTCCGATTTAAATAGCCGGCACATTCTTTAGCACATAATAGTGTCCGCATTCGCAGCGCTTGGGGTTGCCCTTCTCCAGCCACATCCACTTGGGTGCACGATCGCCGAGGCACAAGCAGCCCACGAGGCGGCCATCAAATGCCGACGGTATGACCGTCGGATCATTCTCTCTGCCTGCGCCACGCTTCATGGGTCTCTTCATGGCCCACGGATCGTTGCAGCCCGCCTGGCGCAGCATGAGCTCGCGCTTGAAGATGCCCGTGGCCAGCTCCATGTCATCAGTCAGCTCTATGGCAATCAGAGTAGCTGCATTATGCCAGACCAAAACCTGCGCCTGTTTCTCACTCACCTTTTTTCAAGACCGGAGTTGTGGATATGGCACGCGTGCCGGTACCCTCCTTGACCCCAAAGACGCCGAGCATACGCTTCAAGCCGAGCTGACGCAGCACTGCGCCAAGCTTGCCCTCGCCGCGTTGCGTCAACTGCGAGACGAGACGCTTGGATGCGAAAGGAGATTTGAGTAGTCGCGAGATGAATGACGACATCTTGACTTCTCAAATATGTTTTTAATATATTTTTTGAAAAGAAATATATACGTCTAGCTCAATATAGCATCCGTTTCCTTTGCAAAGATGAAAAGGAATGAGCTCCCCAACGTAGAAATACTCAAAAGCTATATATGTATATATACAAATTGTAGGCCTACTAGGAGGATTACTCTAAATCGTCAGTTACAATTCTCAACTAGTTCCAGCGTCGATCAGGGAACCAGCCCTAAGAACTAGAACGCCGAAACTTACGTAGTAGTCGCCCCTTTTGAGGGGAGACCGATCTCTAAGGTGGGACATTACTAATTCCAAACGAATATAGGTTCTTTTCTCAGCCGATCTGCTTTTAAAATCTGCCTGATAATACACTTCAGAAGTGCTTCATCAATCGACTGTCTTTAAAGTTAATTGTAAAACTTTAATTCAGTGGATTTAATCCACGGTCCAGACCGGAAAATAGGTGAAAAACGATCATGAAACTTATTTTCAAAGGGCCATGCAGAACGTCTTTTGAGATGCGACTGAGAAAATCCAGCTTTCCCAGTGAAAATGGGCAAACTGAAATTTTGCGACATGCTGGAAAAGGAATGCCAAACATTTTAGATAAATTCTGGTCCTGGCCAGAGCCGGGGTACGCCTACTAGTCCTACATATCTTGGTGCAATTGAAATGGATATCTTGTTTAAAGTAATTTATTTAAACCTTTTTTGTACATGCTTTTCCATTGCTGCAACTAACTGGGCGAGCTCCAAATTAATTAAGAAAACTGTACCGGGACGCGGCGCATATTGCATTTCGTTTTGCATTTCTCTTCAATTCAATTTCTTTTGGATTGATGTTTGTTTATTTGGAAAGCTATTTTGTTGACTTTTAGCTTAATAGTTGGTTGTTTGTTTGTGTGTGTGTGTTTTGTCGTTTTTGTTATTAATTGGTTTATTTAATTAATTAATAATAACTTTAAACTGCTGCCTTCTCGACCAGCTTGAACCAGTGGCCGCACTCACAACGCTTCTGGTTGCCCTTCTGCAGCCACATCCACTGCACGTAGGTCTGATCCTCTTCGCCTGCGGGTGTGAAAATGCGTACGGAAATTAGTTTCTCCTAAGCTCAGTTGTTTAGCCAGTCTACTCACAGATGCAGCCCACAATGCGGGCATCGAAGGCCGATGGAATCAAGTTGGGGTTCTCCTTGGTGCCAGCACCGCGCTTAAACACCTTCATGTCGAAGGGATTATCGTTGCCGGCCGCCTTCAGCAACAGCTCGCGCTTCTCAATGCCCGTGGCGTGCTCCAAGGGATCGTTCATCACTGCAGAAAGGAAAATGTTTATAAATTGTTAAGCTCTGATAAGCGCGCATTTTATATACCCTTACAGAGGGTGTCACGTCAACTGAGGGCGACCAGTCCGAGCTCATAAATTACATATACTCTCGAGCAGTACCATTAGCCGATTCACCATATCCAGGCCCCACTGTATGCCTAACATATGTACAAGATCTTATCAACATCGGACTACAACTATATCATAGGAAGGATCGCTGGCAGAGTCAGGTTAAGCTGCGACAGCCTGTGGCCAGGTACTTCCTCTTGTTGTGATAACAATCTATGCCAAAACCCCTTCACACTGCGCCTCTGCTCGCGTTTACAGTTGCTGAATCAGCTGTGTGCGCATATTGGTTATATAAAAGTACACACATAGCAAGCCTTTACTCCTTACACACACACACTGTTCAATTGTTGTTGTATTAGTTAGTGATTGGAAACTCCGCGAGGTGCAAATTACGCTGGCTGCGTTCACCTTTTGCTAAAACTCATAAAAACACAATTTTCACTGGGCGCAGCTATTACATAACCTCCCTCCCGCACACTTTTCACCAACTTAAATCTGGCTAAAACTTTGTTGCACTCACAGCAGGCCTGCTTTTTTAGTGTCCGCATTATGTAATACGGCTTATGGAGGCGCCTTGGAAGCAAGGGATTGTCTGCCACACGCGCGGACAAGGCGGACGTGACGGCGAAGTTGCGCCGTTTTGGGGCGCAATTCCTACTTACTTTTGCAGGTGCGAACGGAGTGGTACGTCACATTTTGGCGTGCGGCGGCACGCAGCGCCATGCGTCCACAGATTGATGCCATTATTGTTCGGTAAGCACAAAATTTGTTGGTCTTGGGAGCGTTGAACAGCCGAATTCTTTCGTAATTTTTCACAGCGAGACTCAGGGCAGGTGTTGGTTCATGAGTTGTGTACTTCAGCTCGGAACTGGTTCGATAATGCTGCACTATCGTGCTGATTTGCCATAAAGTTCAACGAGCTGCGCAATTTTGAGCAGCGTGAAGTTGGCTGCACAGCGTTGCCAGATTCTTGGTAAACAACAAATGCCGCCAAAATAGCTGTAATGTATCATAAATTAAATTGTGATGTGGTTTTATTTAATTCGTGTTTGCAAAGGCACATAATAAGGATTTGAGTTGAAAAGTGTCTGGGTAAAAATATTTGTTTGACAGAGCTATAATATAGCTAGTACTGCTTATTAAAGTGCGTTCACAGCTGTTGCCCCGACAACCAAAAAGCGTACACAAAAATATTTAGCAAAACAGAAAAACTCAATTATTATAAAAAAAAGCAGCAATATGACCAATAAGCCGACAATTTGCTTTGATATATCAAAAAATGAACGCTTTCAAATAACGGACAACTATAAGATGCTGCATCGCAAGCTGAAGCCGCACTGGAATGTCGAACAGTAAGTGGAGATATCAGATATATGTATATATATATATATTTGTAAAGCCCATATCGATTAATGCGATCCGCAGAAGCGATGTCGAGCTGAACCATGAATCTTTGACGCGCTCCAAGATCTTTGTGCTGGCAGGACCACAAGATCGCTTCACCGAGGAGGAGTTCGATGCGCTCAAGGAGTACGTGGATCAGTCCGGCGGCAGCTTGTTGGTGCTGCTCGGCGAAGGCGGCGAACAGGAGTTCAATACGAATGTCAACTTCTTTCTGGAGCAATACGGCATCTACATCAACAACGACAACGTTGTGCGTCCGCATTACTACAAGAACTTTCATCCCAAAGAGTGCATTGTGGGCGGCGGCGTTGTCTGCGAGTCCATGTGGCGGCATCTGCTCAAGCTGGACATCGAGAAGGTGGACTACGATTTCAGCGATGAGAAGTACAAGATACACTTTCAGTATCCATACGGGGCTACCCTAAATGTCTCCGAGCCGGCCAATGTGCTGCTAACAACCGGACCCGTTGCCTACCCCTTCAATCGTCCACTGGCTGGTTACTTCAGCAATGCCAAGGGTGGCAAGATATTGGCCCTGGGCAGTGGCTATATATGGCACGATAAGTATCTGCAGGACAAGACCAACGATGCCCTGCTGGAGTATATGCTGCAGCTGCTCGGCACTAGCGAGATAAGCTATACGCATTTGGACTTTAACGATGTGGAGGTGCGTGAGCTTAATACACCCTGCACCCATTGAAAGGGCTATGAATAGGGGTATATTGCTTTGGTTCAGTTTTATGTAACAGTCATCAGAAGGAAGCAGAAAGCTCCGACCCAATAATATAATATTTATTATATTATTGATAATTAATATAGCCAGTCTGTCTGTCTGTTTCTATGCGCAGAAAGGTAGCCTTTACTTCTCTTCTTGTTTAGGCATATTTCTGAGCTAAAGACACACAATTTTCAACTTATTGCTCATAAAGATATAAAGCGTTAATATCGTAGTATAAATATAGAGTTTTATTAGGAATAAATAAATAAATAGGCTGAATAACCGAAGTGTTTATAGTTGAGAGTTCGAATGTAGGCAAGCTTACAGAGTATCTTCTAGTCGGGCAATTCTAATATGTTTTTGTAACTATTCGATTCTATTTCCAACAGCTAAACGACAACAAGCACTTCACGGATTTAGCTTTCCTTGCCGATATGCCCAAGGCCTGCCTGATCGACTCCATTGGCACGGAGATGCCCGCGGATTTTAAGCAAATGTTCGACATGACCCTCTGCTCGCTGAGCAATCGTTTGCTGAAGGATGTGATCGATACGTACGAGCAGTTGCATGTCAATTACGAACCGTTGCGCATTATTAAGCCGCAATTTGAGATACCGCTGCCGGCGCTGCAATTGGCCACATTCCCGCCAATTTTCAGTGAGCCGCCGGCGCCGCCGCTGGAGTTGTTCGATCTGGACGAGACCTTCAGTCCGGCACGCACACAGCTGTCGCAAATAACTGGGCAGTGCCTGCAGGCGCTGCAGTCCAAGGAGTCGTCACGGCGTGCGCCCAATCAGCGCGAGCTCGAGAACTATGTGAAGGAGTGTGCGCGCATCACGGCCATCATCAGGGAGCAGCAGGAGATGCCCGCCCGCGAAATACTCAACATTGTGGCGCGACAGATAACCAGCTATGCGCCCTATGCGGAGGACTAGACTCTAGCAGGTGATCCAATTACCATTAACAGCCAGCATTGCGCATTCCTTTCAAGCTTTTGCTTTTCTTTTTCATATACTCTTGCGGCGGGTTAGTTATATTCGTGCCACATCATGTGCAACAGATACAAGCAGCTCAAGTAGATATATATAAGTATATATAGTATATATAAGTAGATATATATATATATATATATATAATAGTACTGTTCGTCTGTCTGTTGCCTTCTTTTCAAATTAATCGACTTGGATATTTGATTTAACTTGTTAGTTTTATATTTGTCGAGGTCGGTCTATAGCTGGGATTACTATAAGGTATAGATCTCATAGGAACAATCCGTCAAATCATCCGATTTTTAAACATATCTTCTTAAACTGGCAAATTGAAGTATTGTGATTGGGACTTTATCTTAAAACCTTATGGACATTGGAACTCTGTAGAATATAGCTGCTATAGAAATAATCGATCGAGCAGGCATATTTCTGTTTTATAAGATATCCCTATGAAACTCACAAACGTAGTAGAATTCCTTTTCTCTTAAAAGAATCGGTCATAGTTTGAGTTTCCATAAGAATAACAGTTTTACATACCAAAATATTCCAACCAAACTCGGTCTTTACCTACTTTATTATGGATAAAATTTAACAAACATCTGGATACTATATCTTATATAGCTCACATTTAAAATCCATAATCGATCAAATGTTTAGTTTTTGTAAAATTAGGTCTTGTCTTGTGTTTTAAGATATGCCAAACTTCGCACAATCTCTCTTAAGAATCGGACTACTATATTATATAGCTGCTATAGGAACAATCGATTAAAAATGAGTTCTTAGATAACCTCCTTTTTGTTTCTCAAGAAATTCCACACTAAATCAGTTTTCTATGTTTGCTTATATACAAACAATATATTTTATTATCGGGGTATTATCTTAAGTTTTATTATATATCTGCAAGAGTATGCAATCTTCGGCTTATCATATTTTATTCTTTTTTCTTATATATATATATATATATTTTTTTTTGTTCGCAAAATCAGCAAATTTAGCATTTTGTTTGAGGGTTTTTTGAGCAAATTGTAAACCAAGTCCGTTTTATGTAAACATGTTGGCGACTCGTATTCAAACATGGCCGGCGTTCTCCCGACTCCCGACGCCCGAAGCCCTAGCTCCGGCACCCCTGCTCCTCCGGCTCCCTTGCCAGTTGCCTGCCGCCGCCGCCGACTCTTGAGTTTGTTAAAACTTTGCTTCAATTACGCAGAAGGTGCAGAACATTTTGGTCCGTAACACAAAACCTGTGGGAAGTAAAGCTATATACTTACCAGATATATAACCAAAAATTGTTTACTGCAAATGCGCTCTTCACACAATTAATTATATTTATTAATATTTTCCACAAATGAGCGAGTGGCGCGGCTAAGAGGGCGGAGATGGGCATTCCCTAGGGGCAGCAGTCTAGTTGCTCAGTTTTTAGGTGTCGACAATTTGTTTTCCTTTTTAGGGGAGCGCACGCCGGCTGCTAATTGTGTTGTGGGGTCGCCTAGGAGGTGGGGCTCAGCCAGGCCGAGGGGGTGTGTGTGTGAAACCGCTAGTTAATGCTTGTCACAACAAATGCGTGTCATCAATCGCAGCTCCTCGATGCTCTGGGGAGCTGCGACATTCAAATAAAAAGCAACTGTTTGCCCGAGAATATCCTGTAAAAAAAAAAAAATAGAAAAACATTCCAACAACTGACGCTTGTAAATTTCTTTCTAATTTTTATCACGAGAGTCGCGTTAAAGGAACTCCCAGTCCAAATTCTCTGGAGCTTACGAGCAGCTGCAGCTGAAAGCATTTGCTGAACTTCACATCCTTGTCCGGATATAGAAGAGATTTCGAATATAGCTCAAGACTCAAATTTTTTTGATTAAAAATTAATGCAAATTTTTATACGCTTGCTGAGGTTATGATCTCCGACCCCATGAAGTATATATAGATATAGATGAACAGCTGAGTTGATGTCCTTCTGTCCAGATCAGCAAAATCTGGTCAATATCGGTCTGCTTTATCGTATAACTTTTAAAGGAACAATAAGGTTGGGAAAATCAACTTGTATTTAAGATATTATGACTAACAGAAAAAGATATCTTAGCGAAGGTCTGCACGAGGCTTTCTATGTTCTTTAAATGGAAATAGATTTGATTCCCAAAGAACATACCATATGGCAGATGATTCTCTATCTATCTTTAGGTGACTTCCCTTCGGTTATATTCCAGGCTATTTTTCTATATATCTTTAGCTGAGTCCATGGCCCACGAACATTGCCAACTGCCGACTGCTCTCGGGTGGTCAATCAATCAATATTGAAAATTCCCACAAGCGTTTGCTATATTCCATGGTCTGTTCCATATGGTGGCCATTTTCTTGACCGACGGGTAGCACTATGGGGGCACGAGGTATCTGTGTGTGTGTGTGTGTGTGTGCGGTCGTGGGGGAGGGGCATTAAGCTGCAAGTAAAAAAGTAAAAAGAGGTTATATTGAAATACGATCTGACGCAAGTAGGAAGTTACCTTGAGTGCATTTCTATATATTGACAGTGACAATGCTGTCCAAGAGAACGTTGTTGTCGTTTCTGTTGTTGTTGTTGTTGTTGTTGTCTTTGGCTGTTCATTCATGGTTTCAGTCGGGCAAACAGGTTCACAGGCTCAACAGAAGCCGCATAAGTTTTTCCTCAGCCTTCTCCATTTGCTGTCGCTTCTTTCACTTTAAACAGAAAATAACGAAAGCAAAAATAAAATCCAAATGCAACTCGCAGACCATTTCCCAAAGTCTGAACAAACTCACAACAGCTGTGTTTGTTGTTGTTCTTGTTGTTGCCTTTGCACTTCTGCCCCGGCTCAGCTCTGACCGCCTGCCTCTGCCCCTGCCCCTGCCACTGTTGGGCCGTGCAAATATCATCAAAAGTCAAGAGGTTTGTTTGACTTTTAGTGGCATCCTTTTAGCAGCTGTGATTGCTCACTGTCTCGGCCCACAGAGAGCCTGGTCTATAGCTAATATACTTACTCGAATACGAAAAAACAAAATGTGTCGCACATTTGTCACCTGTTCGGAAAAATTCCGGGAAAACCCTCATGAAAAGCGTGCCTTGGCGGTGGTCGCTGCCCCGCCCCGTACAGCACACTGATGCGGGTCGCTGGCGAACATCGTTTTTAATTAAATTACACCACCAAAACGTGCGACATCACAATAATTTTCATTGTCAAAAAATGGGCATCATAAAAAACAACACGTCTGCATTGTATACCCCACAGATACAACAACAACAACAACAAATATCACGGCAAGCAACAACAAGCTGTGGAAGTGAAAGGGCTAGAGGAGCACAGACACACACACCAACGCTCGGAAAGAATGTAACAATCAATTAACAGGTAAGCGGCCTAGAGATGCAGCAGCATCCAGCTTAAATATTTCATTTAACCCTTATGCGCACACTGGTATCAATTTAAGACATGCATTAAATATTTCAACCACCTCTTAAGAACAATCAAATCAATTCTTTATTCTAATCCATCAACTACTAGTCATGTAAAATTCGCTTATATAAGCCAATATTTCTAGCAAATGAAGAATATTAAGTTTCTATACTAGCTGAGCTCTATGTATTTTATTTAGTGTAATACCATTTCTCACAAATATTAGAAAAAAAGGTTTAAATCGGAACGAAGAAAAAAAGATTCTGTTGGGCTTTGCAGGAGTCGCACCACCATAAGCATTGAATTCTAATTTAGTTTAACAAAGTTGAGTTTATCTAATCTTAACATTTTTTTTTTAATACTCAGTCTTAGTTTTCACACACATAACAAGAGGTTACTTTTCTGAAGAATTTAGTTTCCCAACTCTTAAGACTTCATCTTGGAGCCTTTAACAAGAATGATGGACATATCCATTTGCTTTCAGGAATCGTCGTTTCATAAATTACTCTGAAAAAAAAAAACAACAAAATATACCAGTTGTTGCATATTTATAAAAAATTGTTAACAACTGTTAACTTTTTTTTTCATCTGAATCAAAAAAGTAGTTTTGTTAAAAGGATACAAACAAATATTAATTTCGTTGATTGACTTATATTGAGTAAATAGATGTAGAAATCTTTGAGTATAAATATTTGAGCACTTCAAATACTATTTTTTCTCATACTTCTGGCTACACCCTGGCACACACAAGGGTTAACCATCCAGCCGTCCATCCAAGTCTCGCTTGGCACGCTTCGTTGTCAACTTTGGGCTGTTGTTGTTGTTGTTTCAGTTTTGATTGTGTTGGCAATGGCCTCTGGGAACATTGGAACCCCATTATCGAAATAGAAAGCTTGTCTTTTATGCTATCGTTATTGTTATTAATTTGTCATAAGGCCGCGTTGTACAACAGGCTCTAATGATGCATGTAAATGCAAAACAAATCACATGCCCCACCACAAACTGCAACATTTGAAAGAAAAACAAAAATAACAAAATTTAAAGCGCGTGTACAATTTAAAATGAAATAAAATCAGACTGTGGCAGGTTTCGAAATTTTATGAGCATGTTGCGCTTATTAGCCACACTGCGAGAAATGGCGACAGGCCACAACAGCAACAACAACAACAACAACAACAACGAATGAACAACAACAAGCACGACATGCATTTCCACGGCTAATTTTTCACGCACGCTCCAAGCCCGTCTGCCCCTCCTTTGTTGGCAACAGCGACAGCGAGCGACAGCTCCTGGCCAGGCTTCAGCTTGGTGTATGCCCTTTGAAATGCTTCAAATGGGGTATAATGAAGTCTTGGCAATGTTTGACAAGCAATGCTGCCATAAGTTATAGAGTAACTAGCTAGTTTGCTAGCTTTGCCTACTTTTTTCGTGTATTTTGAATTTGTGGTCATATGTGTCTGTCTTCTGTCATACTCTTCCGTTTGTTTGCAAAATCGTTATTATATCTTTATTATTATTATAACATATTTTACTCAGAGCAACAATTGATTATGATAATATGCTAGCAAAGTCAACAGCAAGTTGTTCTCCAATTCATAATTTGGCTATAAAGTCAAATCTATTTGTTATTATATATAAAAATCTATATATTATTCTTACAAAATCTCGAGACATTTTTTTTATTGAAAAAAAAAAAAAATAATTTGAAATTTATATGTTGGCTGGGAAAAACATAAATTTAAGTACGTTAAGTAGAGAAAATATATATATATATATATATATCCAGTTGAACAAGATTATAAGCATTAGAGATTTATGAAATATTTGAAAATTAATTAATTCACATTTCTTCAACATTTTGAGAACATTTTATTCATACTGAAAATAGATCGCGTTGGCGATTCTCCATTGACTTCATTTTGCATTATCCGATATCTGATATTCGATGCCTGGCATTTTTTTTGCCTTTATAAATTTTGACCAATTTTACTTTGTTGAATCCTTTTTGCGTATTTCTATTCAATATCTAAAATTTTGTATCCATATAATCTATAATTTCGGCATTTCGCATATGAAGCCGATTTGCTTGACAGTTACCATAAAGTATAAAAGTTTCTATTATATTATCTTAACTTATCTAATCTCATCTTAATTCGTTAATTCGCATTTGTGACTGGAACCATTTAGAAGAAAAATATTTGCCGATCAGTTGATCTTATCAGATTTCCGTAATATTATTGCATTAGAGTATTTGGGAATTCGTTAATACGCATTTAGTTAATCGACGCGTTTTTGTTGGTTTTGTTTTTGGCACAGCGACACGCACGAGAAATTCCAAGAGATAAGCATCGTGTACGACAAGGTGTATTATGGAACCCGGCCCGATACGCAGTCGAGTGCCATACTGTTGACTCTGTTAAATTGCCAATATTTATGGTTTTGCCCGTTGAGGTTGACTTGTTAAATGGGTGTTCCAGCCAGGAGGCAGCTCCAAAATGGGTAGCTGCGAAGCGTTTAAATACAAAACGTGTTGGTCCGATAAGCACGCAACCAAGTCGTGTCGTGTCGTGTCGTGCCTCACGTCGTGCCATCAGATTTGACATGTGCTTGTCAAAGCTTTTACAGCAGGCCGCCATTTTGTTGGGCACCTTTGTTGCGCTCTCTCTCTCTCTCTCTCTCTCTCGCTCTCTCTCTCTCTCTCTCTGTCTCTCTCTCTCTCTCTGTGCAGCAAAGCAGAAATGCGCAATGTCGTCAACGCGCCTTGCCTGAAGCTATAAAAATGTCAAAACATGCTACAAATAAAGCAGAATTATAAAGAAATCTAGCGAGAAAAAAAGCGAATAAGAATTATTAAAATGATATACATATAAGAACAAATTTGTGACGCTTTGCGAACAAACCAGTCGAGCAGACGACAACAAACGCACACACTGACAACGAGTTGGGCATTCCGACTTTGACAGACTGTTCGTATTAACATACAGTTTCCTAAAGAGAGAAACATAAGAAGCAGAGAGTAGTTATAACTGGCTGCAATTTACTTTTTGTGGTTTTTAATTTAAGCTTTTTTTTTATAATTTAGTTTAAAGGTTCACTTTAAATAGAATTTTTCTTAAATTAAGCCGCAAATGAACTTAAAATCGCTTCACTCTTATTGCTCCCTTTTCTCTCTCACTCTTACCTTCTTTTTCTCTCTCTCTCTCTCTCTCTCTCTCTGCCTTGCTTTATTACTCATATGAAATAGATTCAAATAGGGGTTTCTTCCCTGGTTCTTAAATAGATTTCCGAATTATTCTTTGCTTACTTTACTTTTCTAAGGATAGCTTTTTTTTACTGAATACATATTAAAGTCAAAGTTGGCTTTATCAGAACATTTTAAGATGGTTTTCAAGAAAATTAAGTTAACAAATTTCGTTAGAGGGTTTTCTTTTTTTAATTCAGTTTTAATATTACAAAAGCTCACACGCATATTTTATGGCATTTCTTACATATATATATATAATTTTCTTATTTGTTGTGTTATTACTTTTTGATGTCCTTTATTATGTTTTCTTGATACGCTTGCTTTGCTTTGGTAAATTTTTCTAAATTTCATTTAGTTAGAGTATCTGTCTGAGTGTAACACCGTAACATTACTGCATTTTCTTTATAATCAGCAGAAAAAATTGCTAGTTTTATTTAATTTTTTTTTTTTTGTTTTTTCATTAGTTTGCTGAGCATCATTCGTGTGGTTGTTGTCGCTGTTGTTGTGACCAGGTTGATACGTTGCTGATCTTGCGGTTTTTATGGTTTATTTTGTGCCGCTCCAAAGAAAAGGCATTGCAAATCTAAAGCGTTGCACAGAGTTTTTCAGCGTTTTGAACATTTTTGAAACAAGATTTGAAATTTTAGATGTGTGAGATGATTCGCCAGGCCCTTATCTGGCAGCAGGAATTCCCGCTCAAGATGTCATAAGTCACACCTGATCATTTGTCAGTTTTACACAGGTTAACAAACGCCCACAGAGAGACGTGCGCGGGCGGTTCGGGCCGGGGCGGTGTCTAGTTTGTGTTGTAAATCAAAGCGCTGCATGTTAAATTTGACGCTCATAAAAATGCAAATCGTATGCATAAAATATAATTTTTATAACTTAATTAACCGAGCGCCGCGTATAGAGTCTGGGCGCATGCTGCGCTTTGGGGCTTGTGGCTCATTTAGCTGGCGCCAAGTTTCAAATTGATTTTGGCCAGCTGGGCGACATTTTTACATGACAAAGACTTGGCCGCTGCCGTGGCCAGTCGATTTGGCCCCCGATAAGCGAGCGTGCTTATCAAATGACCAGTCCGTCAGGCAGTCAGTCAGTCAGTCAGTCGGAGGCTTGTGGCCGCTGCTGACACTGACTGCATCACAAGTCGCAGCTCGGCAACACTTCTCGGAAGGCCCATCAGAGATAGAAGCGGCGCGTACGCCTGACATGGCATGTAATAAAATAATCTGCCTCTAATTTGGGTGTCGTTTACACGTGCCAAGTCCCAGCCTTGGCTCTGATGTGCTGCCCCCGCCCGGTGCGGCTCATTAACCCGATGTAATCGCTAAATCTAAAATAAAACTTGGTATGCAATGGCTTGGCAAAGACCTTAAATTCAAATTGGAACTCGAATTGGAATTCGAATTGGTAGTAAGTGGCGTTCTTTCTTGAGCCCAGCTTAGACAGGAATTTGAAAGTTCACAGCCAAGACATTTTTTATGTTCAAAAGCTGAGGAATTTTGACTGATGAGCCAGTACTTTCTCTCCTACACACGATTGTAGTTTATTGCCAGGCATCGAGCGGGCCAAATGTGTGCTTCTCTCCCATTTTCATTTTATGTGTCGCCCTTTATAACGTTGACCCCTATGTCTGTCACTCAAAGTGTTTGGATGTAGAACACGTCTTCAATCAATTTTTTATAATTGAATTGGCAAAACACAGATGCAT